GGGGTCGAGGGGGAGGAGATACGAAGATTGTTTCTCGAGATGACAGTTTGCCGCAATGGGAGAATCACACCATCACTATACAACTCTTGTACGTTGCAATGGACTGGTGCAGCAATCGGTTGGTAGTCACCAAGAGGAAGAGGGTCACCTGCCCGTCGCGGCCCCGATGCACAACGTCCATGGATGAGGGTGTTTCCACATCCATGTTTCATATGGCATGGAGCCATGGACTACCCTGAGCCAACACAATTGCCTGTGATGTCATTGAGACATAAACATTGACTTGGCAAGGTCACATGTAGCACCATCATCGATGGATGCTGCAATGATGCCAACAACGAGAGAGGGAGGACAATGACATACAAGAAGTAGGGATCCTCTTCATGGCAGATGGATTAGGTGGGAGGGGGGTTGCGGTAGGTGGAGGGGTTAGTGGTGCTTTTTTGGGAGGAGTTGGCACTTCAGCAATATAGTTATATTCTCACTCTTCTTCCTTTCATCTTGTAGCGCTCCCCATTTTGTGTTCCAATGCCATGTTAGCGTGCCCAATCCTCGATCAAGGCGGTCAACCTTATGCCACATTGGGCAAATTGGTTTGGCTGCATTTGAGTGGCTTCATTCTGAAGATTGACTTCTAGAAGGCCTATGAAAATTCATATGGCCTTTCTACATAGACCCTAACAATGAAGGACTTGCCGAATAAATTGTGTGCATAGGTGAATAACTTTGTGTGTGGAGGTAGTGGAGCCATATAAATCATGGCAATACTGGTCAGTACTTCAGACACAAAGGCTATCTGATAGGGGGATCCCCTATCCCAAATGTTATGTAAGATCATGGCATGGACCTTGAAAAGAATGCAAGGCAGATGGTCAAGGTGCCACCACTAGTGGAAGGTGGACTTCTCATCTTACAATACATTGATGGTACAATTCTCTTAATGGAACATACTCTTCAAGGATAAAAAAAAATCCCAAGCTTGTGTTTTGTGATTTCGAGCAAACTTTCGGTTGTTAAATTCAGTTTTCATAATAGTTTGTTGTTCTGCTTCGGGAAAGCCCAAGATTGCACATCTTAGTACACCAAAATTTTCAGACGTGAGCGTGCTCAGTTTCCCATCAAGTATTTGGGAATCCCGATTCATTACCAGAAATTCTCAAATATAGACTTGAGACATGTGGATGAATGAATTTTAACTCGACTCAACAATTGGAAAAAAGCTTTTGTCATCCGGAGACGGCTCACCATTAGCAACATGGTACTTTACATGATGCCATTCTTACAAATTCTAAAAGGGATGTAGCATATAATAGACTATTTCCAGTCGGGTTTTCCTTGCAGAGTGATGATGAAAAAATAGATATTTCTCGGACAAAGATCATGGTGGTTTAGGAATCCAAGATCTTTAAGCAAAAACTCAACGCTTCTCAGTAAATGGCTCTTCAAGCTTCTTACGAGGATGGTGCATGTCAAGATCTTGAGGAAAAAATACGTTGCTCAAAAGAAATCTCCTGAGTTCAATGGACACTGAGAGGCTCTTAGGCTTGGCCTGATGAAACTCAAGTGTTACTACTTATGGTTTGGTGCATTTAACATGAGTGATGTTCAAATAATTATATTCTTGGAGGATAAGTGGTCGGAAAATGCACCACTAAGCGGTTTGACAACCCACCACTCTGAGACCAGTATCCAACATATGTGCAATTTGTGCATACAAATGTGACATAATCGAACAAGTTTTGAATTCCTTGTCTCTTAACATAGCTTTTTGGAGGGACTTGCTTGGCCCTACACTTTGTGGCATGGAATACACATCTGGGTAGATGGTGGATGTCTAATTTCGCAAGGCCACACCGAGTTCTACTATGATTTGCACCAAAGTAGACAGTTCCACTACTAGGAAAAACATGCATTAGAAGTGGGTCCTACAAGCGGCTATGTCCTTTAGTTACAAAGCGGTTGTAACAATCCAGAGGTGGTGGTTATTTCTGTTTTTGAACCACCTGCAGTAAGTGTCGAAGGAAATTTGAAACCGCTTGTAGCTGGTACGTACTCGAGGCGGTTTCATAGGTAGAAGTGTCTGCGGGATTTCAACACCTATGTATTCAGCCTTGCCCTGTTCCTCAGCCCATAGTCTCACACCCTCAGCCCATAGTCTCACACCACAGGATGTTAGATCCGGCACCGCCAAGCCTCTCAATCACCGACGTGTGGCCTTGGTGTAGCTTGCGACCCCGCGGATTGCCATGGTGCGTCACCACGCCTCATGCCTCCGCCTTGCCCTGAAGGAACAAGGATAGGGCATCTCAAAAGTATCCTCCATTTTTGTTTCTCATTTGCAAAGAGGCAGTGAGGGGCTACAACATTGGGAAGTGGAGGGGGTCCAGGGTGGGCTAAGGGTGCGGGAAGAAACCAACCACATTGGGTTGCAGGGGAGTCCGTGCGACCGGAGCATAGTTCGGTTTTATGGGCATGCAACACTTCAGTTTCTCCATTCCTCCCATAACTCGCTCATTTCCCTCTATTCTCCTCGCGTTTTCTACTCCTCACATATTCTTCTCTATTTCTTTCTTTCTGTCTTCCATGTTGATAGTCGTTTGCGAGAGCGTTTCCGAGGTAGGATTCTTTGTTGTTTAATTGAGCCTATCATTGTGCATTCCTATAAGCGGGAATCAATTTCTCCATGCGATTTCTGTTCATTTCCTTATTGCTTTTATTTTTCACTTGAAGTAAATGTGTCCATCAACGACTTATACTGTACAACCTAGTTCATGCCTCACCGGCTCTTCTAGTCACGAAGAAAGAAGGTTCGAAGTGCCTGTGGATTATAGCAACAGTTCTTGTAGACCATTCCTGTAATAGCATATCTCTAAACCTTTCTTGCGGATCCTAACCAGTTGTTTCTTCCTGAGCTGTTGGTATTGAATCCGCTTTCTTTTGTATCATGGTAGCGAGCCCTAGCCTTTTGGAAAGAAGGGAGGAGTAACATTTCAACTGTGTGAGGATGGACTCTAGACCCACTCGTTCTGATTCGTGGACTTGAGACGAAGTTGAGTCGTCAGGAAAGAACAAAAGATAATCGGTATCACTGCCTTCGCTCGAGGTCTGTGATTCACATTCCGGAAGCATGAATCCTAGCAAGACCCTTGGTGACACTGAAATTGATAAGGTAATTTTGTTCACATCTTCTGTGCTAGTTTGTACTCTACAGGGCCTTTTTGATTCAATGGAAAAGTAGAGAAAAATCATAGTATTAGGAAATTTTCCTATGGCAACACTATTCACCCGTTTGATTCAAAGGAAAAGACCACAACAAAATTAGATGATCTTTTCCTCAGGATTGAGTTTTTCTCTCTCGAATAAATTTGTTTTCATTCATGAGATTACTTTCCAATTTTACTTCAAGGTGAAAGACTTCAAATTAACTATTTCTTAAAGACAAAGTCCAAGTACCTTTTAGAGCATTTCATTCAAATTCCGCACCACTATGTTTGCATATTTATGAAATTGTAATCCTTAAGATCCAGACATATAGTGTTACTTACATGATGTTGGAGAACAATGCAGCTATGATTTTGTTTTTACAATTAGTTCCACTATCATCGATTTTGCATACGTCAATCAAGGAAAAAGGCCTAGAGGGATGAGTGACGATGGATCATCTCGAAGCAAGCACTGTCAGAATATGGACAATATTGGATAATGAGGTAAATTTATGTTTTGCTCCTGCTTGTGTTTGTGTTTTCTCTGGAACATATCTGATAGTTCTCATGTGGATATGATAGTTGGTAATTGGTTATTTAATTACTAGTATTGTGTACTGTGTTGAGTTTTATTTGGTGCCCTCAAACGCGCATAGTCTTCTATAGTAGATTTTCTTGGTATTTACAAATATTTGATGCCCTTATATGAGTAAATGGCTCAAAACACCTGCTCTTAGAGTTGGTAATGCCGCAAAATTACCATTGACGCGTTGATGTGGGCATTCATCTATTTTAAACTGCTATTTATTTGCCTTTTTAGTTGTAAGATTGTCCTCCTTAGATCGTTAATATAATGTATGCCTGCTTCAGCTAGATGTGCAATATGATATTGTCGACAATGTTTCCATATTGAAGGCCAGGAGCACCATTTTTCACCTGCCTGCGTTGTTGCCTATGCTCTCCATCAACTTTTAGGTCATTTTGACTTCAAGGTTGCTAATCGTCATATCAAACATGTTGTCATTCTGAAACTCAAGAGCGCATTCTATGTTTTTCATGTTCAAGGCCCCAACTTGAATCAAGCACTCTCACGCAAAAAGCCAAGAATTATGATGGCAACCAAGGTCTGAAAGCTCAGGTAATGTGTTTCAGAGTGTATGGCCTAACGCTGACTGAGATCATGCCTCCTCCTTCTAACAAAGAAGGTGATAATTCTGCCGCTGGAGGAGGTGCTAGAGCCGATCGTGCTGCATGGTGAAGGTCCTAGAGACGGTGGTGGCATTGTTGCTGTTTGAACACTAGGACTATATTCAAGTGTTGGAATTTGTGTGATGTTTAAGACTATGCTTTACTTTGTTTCGTGTCCTATGAAACTTATTTCATGTTTTAAGTGGTACTATATGTGAACTCATGTGATGTTTTATGGAATAGTATGCTAAGTGTGAAACAGTAGTTTTTATATAAACTCAGTACCAAGGCTGGGTACAAAATGAAACGAAATAGATATCCCTGAAGATAAAAAATGGAGGCGGGTCTTAGGGGAAACCGCCTCCGTGGCTGAGAGCATTAGAAGCAGTTAGTCATTCCAAACCGCTAGCGGTACTCCATGCGTTCGAGGCGGTTCTGGAAACTACCTCCGGTGGAAGGAGCATTAGCGACATAGGCTTGGAGGCAGTACAAGGAACCGCATGCAGCCCATTTAAAGAAACTGCCTTCCAAAGCCCATTTTTGTAGTGGTGTTCTCAGTGAACCAAATGTACCGGCCCTGGTCCATTGTGTTGCACCAATTAATAGTAAAGAACGTGGAACTTAATGTTCCTCTAGAACTTACACTATTTCTTTGGTACCTTCGCAAAGGAATCACTTTAACGCAACCTCAAGAAGTACAATTGTCAAAGAAGTAGGCAATGTTATTTCTATCACAAGATGAAAGAATAAAACACCTTCACTTTGCCACATTGCATGAGTAGACATGCTAAATTGAAATATATTCTCTCTAGACCTTCGAACTGGCATTCAAAGCTAGAAGGGTATGATGGTACTCTACCTTGTACTAGGGAAGAAGAAATGACTTAAGACCAGAACTCGTTGATCTTATTTTCTATGCCTCATAGAGAGAGGGGGCGAGGGGGGAGGGAGAGATTTCATGGCCCTCTACAATTTTGAACAAGGATTTTTAAGGGAATCAATTGGAGAAAGGTTAATTATTCTTCCTGGTGTATATCATTTAGGTGGCGCCTAAATTGTATCCATCTCGCAATATCACCTTTTTTTTGTAATTGGCTATGCACTACAGAAATCACCTACTATGCCGTGTGCCCAAGACACTCAACGAAGGCCCGAAAAATCTCGGCAACGCCTTTGCTGAGAACTGCTCTCGGCAAAAGGCCTACGACGCACACCCCTCAGGCAAAGGAAACTTTGCCAAGAACTGTCTGTCAAACACTCGACATAAACTTTGCCGAGAAGAAAAGGGAGGTCATCGATAAAATAAAGTGACTTGACGACTTCAAGATGGAGATGGCGGTTGCCACATGGCAGATCTTTGCCATGAGTGTTGTTAGACTAATATGTCACGTACTGTGACATATCTCCTAATCCCATAAATTGAGAAGAATTGTTATTATTGCGATTCTCATTTATAGTTAGGATTGTAATATTTATTTATATATTAACATGCAATGCAAAAGCCCAAGTGTGACCAATCTTTCGAAACACTTTCATGGTATCAGAGCGCAACAATCCATAAAAATACGCAAAATCATCAAGATTGACTAGAAAATATTTATTTCCCGAGGCACTCAAAATAGGTGAAGTCCAAAGATCACAATGTACTAACTCCATTCTCTCGCCGCCATGCACGGTATTCATATTCGTTTCTCTTGCCCATACACATACCAACGAAATGGTAAAGCTGAACACATTATTCGCACAGTCAATAACATTGTGCGCTCTCTCTTATTTCAGGCTAGCTTACCACCACATTTTTGGGTCGAAGCACTCCACACCGCTACTCATGTCCTAAACAATCTTCCCACAAAAACCATCAGCTCCTCCTCTCCCTAATTTTCCCTACACTATACCCATCCCGATTACTCGTCGCTTCGCGTCTTCGGATGCCTTTGCTATCCTAACACTACTTCTACTATGCCACACGAACTGTCGCCGCGTTTGAGTGCCCGTGTCTTCTTGACTATTCCTCTCACCATAAGGGGCATCGGTGCATGAATATTACCACCCACTGCATCATCATTTCTCCTCACGTTGTTTTCAATGAGATGACTTTTCTCTTTGCCTCCCCACAACCTCCATCACTGACACATATGTTTTCCTCGACAACGACGACACCTTGTCCGTTGTCGCCCCTTTTCCCAAGTGACCACGGCTGCACCTCCATCACCACACGCCCCACCCTCGCTGCGCAATAATAACGATTCTCCTCAATTTAGGGGATTAGGAGATATGTCATGATAGGTGGCATATTAGTCTAACAAGTGTAACACTCAGCTCTTGGCAAACTCCAACAAGTAGGAGGCTGCCACGTCAATGTTTGTCTAACAGCCGACCGACTGCCTTATGCCGAGTTCTGCCTTTTGTCAAAGAGGTGCTCTCAGAAAAGTCAGCATGTAGGAGGCCACCATGTGTTCACCCGGAGCCGACCTCTTGGCAAACATACCCCAGACGTCATGGAGCCGTCAAGCGCAAGCGGACATGCCACATGTGACCTTATTGCCGTGACCATACTGTTTAGTTCTCTGCGTATTTAACATTTGCCGAGTCTTTTCCGTTCGCCTAGCTACATTTAGCGGTATCTCGGCAACGACATGTCTTTGTCGTGTTCTGCACTTTGCCGAGCAGGGCACTCAACATAGAACGCCTCTCCCGAGGGCCTGCTCGGTGTATAATTTTTTTTCCAGTAGTGATGTGACATTGGGGCAAAGCTTAGCTCTTGCATCCTGGTCTACGCGGCGACGATGTGGTGGTCACTTTGGCTATGTAGTAATGATATTGTGTCGACAAAAGGAAAAACCTCTCCTCTATAAGTTATCTACCAATGTACGCAATTTCTCCATTCGCGCAGTCTACTCATGGACCGGACCAATGTGATTTACTTATGCGCTACATGTGCATACAAAGCAAACGGTCAAGGAAGCCTTTACCCAACATGGATTGCAGTATAGTTTATGGATCAATCCTCCATCACGTTAGGCAGATTTTTGTCTAATCTTTTTGTTACTGTGTTGCTTCTTTTGGGCTGTACACATCCTACCTATGTAGAGTCTGGGCGTGAATTATTTGCGCTTGTATTGCCTTATGCAACGTTTTGAGACAATGAAAACTCCCTGTCTAAAATATGGTCCCAGCTTAGTGACTGTAGATATATTTTATTCAATTTATCACTAATGTTTTATGAAAAAAAGGGTATAAACTTACTGGAGCCAGAGGCTTGCTTCTGCAAGCTCGTCCCTTAGTCTTGCACAATTGCTGTCCTCCTACCATATAACAGAAATTAAATGAGTTACATATATGCATATGTAAATCTATTTGGATGTGTTTGAGCTTACATGCAAGTCCAGCTGAGATGGCTCATCTGCTTTCTTAAGTATCTTGGAATGAGAGTTATACCGATCAATAATCTGGTTCATGCTTCAGTAGAGTAGAAAAATCAAATTAATCAGTGTAAAAATGTAAAGGCCGGTTTTCTGCCCAACCTTTCTTTTGTGAAGATGCTACTACCAGAAATTTAGAGAATCCACAAAAGCAAGCATAATATTCGATGTGATCTAGTAGTGTGTCTCAACTCTCATTTCTCTCCTTTTGTACTATTCGACCAATATTATTCTTTGATGTATTCTTAATAGATGTTTCTAAATTTAATGTGATGGCAATATGCTGATGACAAATCTAGTAGGAACATTAGTAGAATCTCTTTTTGGGTGCATATCAAACATTCTAAAATGACTTGAAAAATAAAAGAAAAACATGGAACATCAGATACGTTTTTCACAAAAAGACCAGAGAACTGAAAGAGAGATCTAATTGTTCTCATTTCTTGTGGACTGTTAGAAGAGTGTTTTTTCCCCCAAAGTAATACACAGATTTTTGAAGTGGGCAGTGAAGGAGAGAGAACATGGGTTGCACAAATAATCCATTTCAATTCGAAACTACCCATAGCCTTCTGTTTATCAATTTCATACTGTTCTGTTAATTTTCATGCTAGTTCAAACGTTCTGCATGCATTTGACAAATGTATGAAATTGTTTTGAAGTAAATAATGATAATGCCACTAATGCCCTTGATACCGGTGGCTTGAAAGTTGAAATACGCAGTTAGTGATATAGATAATAATCACTAGGAGAGGTCAATGCGTTGGGCACGTGCACAACCACATGGAAACTTGGTGGCATTACGACAACAGAGTTGTAACTATCTGTGCATCGGGTCTCTGAGGATAGAGACGTTTGGTTCCTGGGTGTTCTCTATGAAAAATAAATAAATAGTAATTACCAAAAAAGTCAAAAATTTCTGAAAATGTTTTTCAAATAAAGTTGACCTTCTATTGCACCTGTGGAAAAAAGTTGCAAAGACAGAACCCCC